GAGAGAGAGAGAGAGAGAGAGAGAGAGAGAGAGAGAGAGAGAGAGAGAGAGAGAGAGAGAGAGAGAGAGAGAGTGTCGATAAGATGGGTTTCAGGTCTCACTTTCTGCATCTTTGCAGTCGAGCGCATCGTCTGGCAGCTTCTTCAGGTAGTCTTTGAGCAACAGCTCGTAACGAGGAATCCTTTGGACCGGCTCCAGCATGTGGTGCTGCAATGTCAGGTTCCCGCACACATCCTGTTTCTGTTGGTTCATGAAGAAACAAACAATAAAGAGACCTTTAATGTTCAAATCAATTTAAACATTGGTCCACCGTAGCTTAACTTTAATTCTTTTTTTCAAACAAAGAAACAAACCTGGATGTTCTGGACGATGCTCTTGAACTGTGAGGACCTCTGTGTCCAAGTGCTGACCAGGTCCATGGCTCGGTCAAAGTTCTTCACATATTCTCCGTACATCTTCATGAACGGAGCCAGTTTCTGGAGGATGTCTCCGATGCGGGGGTTCGAGTCCCTACAGGGAACACAAACAAATTAAAAAACAAACAAACAAGGAAATCATTATTTTTAAGCACTTTAGATCCCATAAAAGTGCTACTTTAACTGTATTGAACTAATTTTAGTCCTAAAATATACACTTTGAAACATTTTCCACTTAAAGCATTGAATTCTAAATGATCCAATCAGTGCTTCTCTTTTTACCTCAGTAAATAACCTCCTGCATGCCTTTACTTACATCTGTCTTATAATTAGTCAACTATATGAGACAGTTACAGGTATAAAGGAAAGTCCCTGCAGTACGCTGGGAGACTTGTTTTTACCTTTGGAAAAGAAGAACTGCTTGACTTATTTCATCATTTACAATTTACAATTACATATGATTTCATTACAGACATAAAATCAACAACAATTAGAAACCAACAAACGTTTTTCTCGTGCACTTTGCGTGGATGTTCCTTGTCTGTGCTTTTTTTAAAGTTTTTAAATCGTTGCGAACAGATTTTAATGAGCTCTGGAAGGAAATGTGGAGGAAACTACAGCGTCACCAGTGATTTCCCTCAGCAGGACTAATTATCTACTGAGGTGTAGTTGATGTTGGCACACTATCACACACTGGAGACAAGCTTCCTGCTTACTGCGGGGGAATAAAAGCAGCCCTGACACAAACAGAAATGCACACTGTAGCAGTACGACAACATAATGTGTCTGAGAGCAGAACTACTGGGTGTCAACCTGCTGTCTTAAAAGAAATGGTAAAAACAAACTACACAACTGCTTTTTCCTGTTAAAATGCAGTGTGTGTGCTGAGTGCTGAATACATTTTGGGCCAGGACCTGAAGCTAAAGCTGGATTTATTTTCTGTGAGAAGTGAAGAAGTCTGTTCTCTCTGATGCAGTTCCAGGACCCAATGATGTCATGGCTTGTTATCGACACGTCCGGGCAGAACGTTTCTCTTCTGGGGTTTGTGTCAAGTGTTGTGTGATTGGTCAGAAAAGTGAAGTGGGGGTGGTTGATGCGGTCATGCTGTTCCATGAGCTGTGCAGTCAGGTTGGGAGTTTTAGCTGCTGGAAGCTAACGCTGGTTTCTGGGATCCAGTATTCAAATTAATCTCAAGTTAAGGTCAGCGTGCTTGATGGTCTTGGATTAAGATACTGTTCTCCTCCTTCATCAGCTGAAAAACTTTCATCTCTTTGATTATCAAAGTGTCTTAACAACTCGAATCAAACTGATTTCCACGCCATGTGATAACTGGGTTCTGTTGGTGTCCAACAGCGGTGCACTGAGGGGGCGTGTCATCCTGTAGCTCTGATGGGGTTTCCTCAAGGCTATGAAACGTTTGTGCGAAAAACAACTCTGATAAATCATAGAGAGCAGATTTCTTAACTTCTCATGGATTATAAATACACTCAAGTTGTTAAAGCTAAGAGAAACACTAATAAACAAAAGTAGCAAAATGCTAGCTAAAAGAAAGTAAAAAAAAAGTCTAGTTAGAAGTTAAAACAAAACCCTTGATAAAAGTTATAAGTAGTAAAACACTACCCAAACACAACAAAATGTTAGCTATTAGTTGAAAGTAATGAAAGGCCAGCTAAATGCTAAAAGTAACAAAATGGTAGCTACAAATAAAATTAATAAAAGATCAGCTAAAAAAGTAAAATGCTAGCTAAATTAGAAAAAAAACTAACTACAATATAACAAGGCTAGCTTAAAGTAGAAAAATATAGATAAAAGCAAATAGTTGCAAAAGCCTAGCTAAAAGCTAAAAGTAGAATATGTCTAACCAAAAGCTAAAGGTAGCAGAATGATACAAGAAAAAGCTAAAAGAGGTGAATGTAGGAAAAAACTAAATGTAGCAACAGACTCAAACTAGCAATAAAAACAAACTAGAGCTCTAGAGTATAATGAAACAGATTTCAAAGAGAACAAATGTTTTTGAAGAAATGGAATCAGTTTCAGTGTATTTCTGCAGAGAAAATGCTTGCAAAGAACGTTAAATATTATTAATTAAAAATAACTAAACCAAACGTCATAGCACCATCTTCTCTACGAACTAAAACCTTTATATATGTTTTAATAGCACAAAGTATGCAAAGTATGTTTTTTCTACAATTTAAAAGAATGTAGAAAAAACAAACAATTGGAATAATGAATCAGTCTTCACACAATTACTGAACTTGTAACAACTGACCTAATAAGTACCTTTTAAAACCCTTTGAATGTATTGGTGCTGACTCACCATTCTCCTGTTATCCGTGTCTTCAGCTCTGGGAGCAGGAACTTGTCGTGGAAGCAGTAGATGGAGGAGATGTTGGAGAAGATCCCTGTGATGACGTCGTGAGGGATTCCAGCCTCTGTGAGCTTAGTGCAAAATACCTGCCGAGAAAACGCAACAACTCTGAGCTGGCTGGTAATAACTTGACTTAAGGAGACAAATAAAGGAGTTTTAACGCCTCTTTGCTCGCTGCCTGTGGTCAGGAAGTGTAAACAGCTCTGAAACATTTGACTTGTGTCATGTCTGATACACACACAACACACCCTAGTGTGGATATGATGATGTCATCAGGATGTTCTCAAGGTGTGTTTTATTAACTTTTAAAACCCTATGTGAGAGTTTGCCAAGAACTATTCACCAGAGTCAGAACATGACACAGCACTTTTCACAATCATCCACCACTGACAGACACCGGATGTGTTGGTGTGGTTGATAAATGGGTAAAAAAAAAAAAGTGCATTGTTAAAATTTCCATTGCATTTTAAAGTGCAACATGTGGTGAGTTTTAAAAAGAAAAGCACATATATGTGTGGAGGTTAAATATACTACTGTAGGTCCACAGAAACTAAATAAGAAATAGCTACTGACAGTGTGGTTTTTTATTGTAGAGGGGTTTATGTTCCAGACTGTAAATATGTTCATTTCTAATTTAAAGTTTGTATTTCTAACATGAAAATAGTATTTTTTTCAGAGGCAACTTCAAATTTTCATAGGAGGAACTTTATTGTTTTGACACTTCTGCTTTACCTTCCCTTCTTCAGCCACGAGGATCAACTTTTATATAGACTGCATTATGTAACAAACAGTATTTATGAACCTCAAACTGGGAACCTAGAGACTCATTTTAAACATCTTTTCAGCTTCTGTTCCTCTGGTTTACTTTCACAAACATGAAAAAGTATATCTGAATCTCTGTGGATGCCCACTAGATGATTAACAAATAATTAAAACGATGAAAAGTGAGTAAAGATGTAAGCAGCTGGTTAAGCTTTGTAATCACACAGATGATTTGTCACGATGTCATGAATCCCTCCCCACCTGCCTACTCTACCTGTGGAAACAAGCATGCTGGTGGTAAGACAAAACAAAACAGGAAGTTAACGATAAATGTTCTCTGCCCTCGGCATCAAACAAACCCGAGCTGCTCTGTGATTGGACAGCTGCTCGTCTCCTCCACCACACCAACCCAACAAAGAGGAAGAAGACTCAACCATCTGCAGAGGATTCTCATCACAAACACGCCAAGCTCAAACTCACTACACGTCAATTGTAGCACAAGTATCAGAAATGAAGTGCGGGAACCTACGATTTATTACCTGGAACAGAAACGGCATCGTGTACGAGTAAAAATAAAATATATGTGTGATTTTCACGAGTGTTTCCCAGCTAGACTTCTTTTTTTTAGTAACAGGAAATAATACAAATATTTCAATATTTATACTACTTCTACTTTTAGAAAGAGCACTGCTTCCTGATACTCCATCAACTTAAAGACTTATTGACTCACTGAGTTCACAGATTTAAAGAAAAATTACTACAATAGATTTTAATAAATCCTTTGATGTATAATGGAGGTAAAAAGCTCGCTAATGAATTCATTATTAAGCTCCAGCTGAGAGCTTTGTCTGCACAAAGCTGTCAGAAAAGAACATGTTTAATTTAAGATGTTCTCACACACACACACACACACACACACACACATACACACACACACACACACACACACACACNACACACACACACACACACACACACACACACACACACACACACACACAAATACAAATACAAAAGACTCCTCCAGCCATCCAGTCGTAGAGGGTTGATGTTGTGAAGAGGGGGATTCTCAAAGTCGAACAGTCGGGTACTTTGTCACGCGACCATCTTGTAAACACAGGCTGACATATTGGTTTGGGGGGAAAATAGGACGAGTTCCTCTATGTGGAAAATAGGAAAAATTGTGAAAAGTTGCTGTAGGACTGCACTTCTCACATAAAAAATCATCCAGAGAGAAAATATTTATTTTTTCTAAGTGCAAGAGTGCGGGGAGAGAAATAAGCCACGTGTCGTTCTGCCTCTGCAGACCTCCGTGCTTCTCCTTGTTTAAAAATAATTGCCTCGTTTTGATCTAAAACACACAAAAATTGGCTAAAATGAAGAGTAAACACTCAAAACTACACACTAACTATAAAATCCAAACATGTTAAAAGTCACAGATCTAATTAATAAAGTCCTGCTCTCACCGGCTCTTCATTGCCACCAATCTCCATTCAAATTTCGCCTCTTTTTATTTTCTTCTTCCTGTAGATTTTTTACTGCTTGTCAGATAACTTTGAGCCTCAGTCAAAAAGGAGGTCTGGGGCGGGGGGTTATGTTTTTTCGTTTTAAGAGAAAGACGAGACTGACGATGGGAAAAGCGGTGTTTTTTCCACGAGATTATTGTGTTTCCTGCTCCCTTCAGCTGCAATGCGCTTCAAAATAGAACGTCCATTTTCAGAAAAAAAAATGAGTAAGATATGTTATTTATCGTAACTCTGGTTTTCTTAACTCCTGACCTATTGACACAATTTAAAAACTGCTGTATAGTTTGAAGTCTCTACTTTTGACACACAGTTTGTAACAGAGTCTCACGAGTTTTGCTCCATAAAAAATGAAGGTTTAAATCACGTGACTGAACGACATCACGCCGACTTCAAGAATCACAGTTTCAGCTGTAATCCAGCTCAGTGCTCGTCTCAGCCATCAACACAGCTGACGCATGCAAAGTAAACATCATCATCATCATCATCATCATCATCATCATCATCATCATCACCACCATAACAAAGCCACAGCCAGACAGAGACAGGTCCCGATCGTTACCTGGTCGAGGAGGTTGAGTCTTTTTACGTAGGCCTCTTCTGTGTGGAGGAGCTCTTTGGCGATGTTCAGGAGCTTCTGGGCCTCTGAGCACTGAGCCAAAAAAAACAAAAACAAAAAAAGCAACAAAGATTACAGGCACGAAGGAAAAGAGAAGCAGTTAATATCATATTTTACGACAGGAAACATCTTCCTGGTTTATAACACCGGGTAAAAAGGAGGGACTGCCTCCTTTTTTCATGAAGCTCTTAACCACAGTAAATATTACCAAATACTGTTTTATCCTGTTAACAAGGACAAAGGGATGAAAAACAGTAAACAAGCAGCTCATTATAAAGAGATTTAGCTGAAATATGCTGATGTCAGACCTGAATGTAAGTTTAACGTAAAAGAGATGTAGAAGGATTTGATTCTCATCCTCTAGAGAGCTGAGTATGAACCACTCCTCACACATTATCTCCCGTATTAAAACCTTATTATTGCTAATTAATACGCTCAAAAAAAGTGAAGCCCTTCATTTATCTGAGAGGGAGGCCACAAAACGTCAGCAGAACTTTTTGTTTTCAGTCGCCCTCCTGCTGCGAGCATCACTGAAAAACCCACATCCTCTGTGACAAGGCCGTCATTATACAGCCATGAACATGTCAGCTGCAGCAAGACACACACACACACACACACACACACACACACACACACACA